TATGCCTTAGTAATTATTCTAAATAATAGCATTATTCAGTACTGAATAACAATGGATGCAGTGGAACTGTTTATACATACATATTTTTATAGGAGGACGACAAAGACGTGAGAATTTTACTTCAATTTGTTAATATTTACAAAATATGTCTATATATATCAAAAGTATATATTTTAATTTGCATACTTTGCATAAATTTGCATGCTTGAAAAATTACGAAGCGAGAATAAGAAAGATAAGTCTGCCTAGTAGATCAAAGAGTTGATATCGAAAGCATATTCAAATATTATACTAAATTAACATATAATAAAAGATAAAAACGTGACTGTACAACATATACTATTGATAAACGACAGTATTATTGTTATTATGATTTCGCATGAGTCATATCTTTAATCGTTAAACACACTGCTATAAGCAGTAAAATATTTATAACAAAAATTAAAGATGTCTAAATCATAAAACAGTAAATCTATAGTGATGATAAAATATATTGTATTGGTACAAACTAATTATATTGCTATAAAGGGAAAAATTATCTAGAGGATGAAACCAGATTTTCCTTTTTAAGAAAAAATAATTATTTAAATTGTTGAAGATGTTTCAAGCAGTCAACATGTTTTAGTAATAAATTATGGAGAGATTTATTGAATGAGCATATCAATCTAATGTTCTAGATAAACCCACTTTGTGAAAAAATTATTCAGCAGATCATTACAATTGGCTATATTTGATATTCAAGAGAACTGCTTTAGACCATTGGATTTTTATTGATAAGAATACGAGTGTCATTACTTGTATTGCAAATTTAATTGTTAGAAAGCTTTGTGAGATTGAGAGAATGAACAATCTTATTTATTAGTCAATGAGCAATTGACTAAAATAAAACACGCAAATATGTATGAATAGATTTGTCAATACAGCAGTAAGAGTATCAAGCCAATTTGAAAATGTGTATTGCTCGTCACAGATGTAATAACGTATATTAGAATCGGAAAACATTTTACTTTTTAAAAATATTCTGATATATATTTTGCACACAATTTGCACATATCTTACATATCGTTTACATTCTTTCACATATTATATTGTCGTAAACATCTACAATTTAACAATATGAAGTTTGACTTTAAACATTTGTTTAATTTTGTTAACCTTGTAGTATAATAGTAGCTATTAAGGATTAATAAAAGTACAACGATATGCTCTTGGAATGCATATCATTTCTTTCTCAGTTTTGTGTGATATGAAAAATGATTTGAAATGAATAATACGTTATTATACGATTTCATGAAATATTATATGTTTATAGATTTAGCAAGATAAATGAATAAATTTGTGGAATTCTCTTTTTTACGAAATGCACTAATTGTAATTGTGTCTTTTTATTATTATTTAATTTATTGTGCTTATATTTGATTGATATTCATGATTTTCTGTCCTGCAGCATATGTAAATAAATTCAAATACTGTATTAGTAAAAAATTAATTTGAATGTAACGAGCAAATCAAAGTTCACTGAATATCTGTGGAATTGAATTTATTTTGCAAGCAAACTGCATTCTCTAACGAAAAACTTTGAAGGAAATAGATTTCATTGACATTTGACACGTTTCTGTTTTTTCTTTCCTCTGTCTCGCCTTGATGTAGTTAATTGATCATTCACGACTTTGTCGTTACATCAAGATGTTTAGTATGTATGGTATAATGTTTCATCTTCGTGTGCGAAATATGAAGTATAAGTGTCAGTTGAATATAATCTACTTGTTTATAGTCGACGGAAGAATCGATTTACATAGTCGCAGAAGAAAATGTCGTGGACATTGAAGAAATTATATCATGAAAAATAACTATTAAACGTATCAATAACAAATTATTATTATTCATTACCAGTTAAAAAGTTGATTAAAAACAAAGTTGTTATTTGCAATAACTACAAATAATACAATTGCGATGATACTGCTACAGGTTGGTAATATTAAAAGAAAGTTCGCAGGAAATTTTTTTCCCATAAGAACCTATGAGTTAACACTCAGACGAAACCTATGGATTAACGTTTTATCATGTTAACATTCTAAGACCGGTCACGTACATTTACCGGTCACGTACATTAAAAAATATTAGAAATGAAGATAAATAACCTCTAAAAATTTTATTAAGAATGATGCTGTTTTAATAAACTCGCAAAGTTTTAAAATATTGTTGCACAAAAGTGCCCGGAATTGGAGAAAGATAGAAAAGGAAACCTGTCCGTTAAGCTTTATTAACTATCATTCAGATTCACGTTATTTTACGGAGACAAAGGAAACAGTTCACCTATTATTATGTGCTGTGGAAGATAATTTAGTTCAGTATTTTTCATAGGATGAGTGAGTCGTAACATAACGACATCAAATAATTCGTAAAGTAATCGCTACATAAACAAATTTTCCAAATGGAAATTGCACGGCTTCCAGTAGAACAGTTGACTTCTGCTTGCTATGTTATTGATCTGGTTTGAAAGCTAGAATTGCATCGAGATGTGCTCATATTGTGCGTCAAAACCTAATGAGACGGGATCGAATGAGGAAATGGGATTATGTTCATGCGAGATGTTATATCCAAAATGAAAATAATTGTCTTTTTTGCTTAAAACTATAATTGATTAGAAATAACATAACTGCTCGACAACTTTTTTCGTTACCAACAATAATTATTGAATCAATACCTGCTGAAAGTTTTAAAGACGGGAGGTAGCAGCGATAAAGTTCAGTTGCATATATTAACGCGTACTAATACGTTTTATTTAGAACAAGTTTCATATATTGTGGAATATTGGCAAGTAAAAGCATTACATTAGTTTACATTAATATGTTGTAAATGTAAAAATTATGTCATATGTGATAAATTAATGTAAATTATTCTATCATAAATTAATATAAACTTTTTACTTTTTAATTCGGAAATAATAGGTTTACTATTTTTTATATTATCTCATCTATTTTAAACAAATAATCTGCGTTATTTCGTCACATCATAAACTTTTAGCTTTCTAATATGAATTGAATATATTATATATATTAATTGAATATACTTTCTTAAATTTTTTCTTTCTCATTTACTTCTTTTTACTTTCTTTTTATTTTACTGGATAGAATCGGGAAGTTTTCTTCTTTCGTATGTATGTTATTTTTCATTTCGTCGTTGGTATTTGCGGTAAATATTTTGCATATGTTTTTATCAGTATATTCCTACCATAGAAATTTATTTTTTAGTACTAATAAGTATTTCAAAACATGTTTAATACTAATAATTGAAAGAAAATATTAATATTGGAAAAGAAGAGACAATCCCATCGATTAAGAGAATTTATTACAGAAAGTCGAAATTTTTATCAGGTGAAATGTGGCAAAATTCGATGTTTCGTTTTTGTTTAAGTAGTAAAAAAGAAAATATTTTAAAAATGTAAAGAAAAAGGAAGATGGAGTATATAATGTGAAATTTATCTAACAAGTGCACCATTAATAAATGCTATTTTCTCTGCATTTTACTGCAGAATATTAATAGATTACAAATGAGCTATATTCTAAGCCTGACCTAAACCTAACCAACGGGAATATAACATTTGTTTTCAAAAGAAGGATCGAGTTGCAATCCATGATTCTTCGAAGAATTTTCCTCTTCATAAAGAAAACAAGGAAATAAAAAGAAATTGATATTGAAACTCACGTTTGTACTGTGTATAGCATCCTTTTACTATTGCCATTTTTATACAAAGTTCTACTTATTCCATTTCTAATTAAAATAAATTCTATTTAATAAAAGTACATACATACCCTGAGACGGTCAATATGTAATATACGTTATTAATACTAAAATAGCAAATATACCGAATAGTCGAATTATTTGATGTATCCAAAACAATCTGAAATAAACGAAAGCCGATTATATAAAAATTATTATTCTACCAATGAAATATTAAAATTATATTTTTCGTATTTATACAAATTACGAATGACTCGTCAATTTCAATGATTTTTAAGTATAAGTCGTATAGCTCAACATTCTGAACAACATTTTTCTCCATATATATATAAGCCCGCACATTCTTCGCTTCCGGGAGATTTGTTCGATAGATGCAAATGCAATAAATTTTCCACATGTGTTGTATCTGTGACAAAAACACAGGCATAATCGATACATTCTCCGCTTGCTAATTTATTTACGTCTGTGAGCTATGAAATTATCAAACATTACGAACTCAAATTTCAACGGAAGCCACGTTTATAATTGCGTATACTTGTTTGTAAGATATCGGATATAAACGACAATGTCACAATCAGTGATACTGATACTGCTCCTCTGAAAAAATAATATCGTTTTTTTTTTGACATTAATTTGTGGCGAACCAGTTCCGGAAGCTAACCAGCAGTATTGAACGGATTTGATTTTTGTAGACTCATAAATGCAACTGTCATTTCGTTTTCTTCGATTATTTCGAAAAAGAAGGAAGTCTAGCGGTAGCATGTACAGAAGAACATTTTTCAAAATTTTGAATTTTACAATATTTAAAATCGTTAAATCGATGAGCCGCCCGTAATACAAGTATTTACTTTCTTTTTTTTTAATCCAAATATGTTCGTGTACATATACCGATAATGCTATCTAAATGCATCTATAGATTTAAACTTTTCTTTCAGAATAAATTTCTCGATTCCCGTCATGTAAATGGTAATATAATATTTTTCTCAATCCACATCCCAATTTAATTTCACAATATCACTATCTTTCAACGTCTGCGCGTCCTTCATCATTTTGCTAACGTTATTTCTATAGAAGCTCCATTTGTGCATGCTAAAATATTGCGCATTTGCAACCAACCCACTAAAACTTTGCTACCTCTTATCATTCTGAAATGTCATTTTTAAATGCATTATTATTACATAGGGACATGAATTATTGTGAAAAAACTTGTTCAAATACGCGACTACTCGTTGCTGGATAAACAATCGAATACACACATTGGTTTTCTACCTGAATGTTTTAGAAACATCTACAACGAACGCTGGCAAGACTGTAGAAATATATTTAGAACATTGTAAACATATCTCTTAACTACCACGAAACAGCATGAATACAATAGTTCATTGTTCATCGGCGTTTCTCTGATACATTGAACTACGATGTTTACCATTTGACCCTATCTTACACAATGAAACATTTAATTCAATAAAACTTGTAGAGTTAAATTACATTCAAAACGGAAAATATTATATTACTGACAACTTGTACGGGAGTACCAAATATCTATAATAGAACAACTGGTTTGATTTGATTCGGAAAAAAGTAAAGACACTTTTCTAATTTTAAATGTAGGCACTTCGTTCTCACAACTAGTATTTTTTAATTTTAAATATATATGTCTTAATTTGATTATACGTTTTGTTTCTTAATAATCTAACGCTTATTTGTTAATAAACTAAAGATTCGGGATATACTAATAATAAGATTATATTTACAACGCGGATTTCTATGCGAATTTATATTTCTGGACACATAATTAATAATAATTTCATATAGTTTTTCATATTAATATTATGTTCTCAATACGGCAATTTTGTGTCATTAAATCTCCCGTAAATGCATAAAAATTTGTAGTAAGCTTGATAATAATGCTTAAGCATAATCTCCTCATCTGTCTGATAACAATAATAAATTTGATGATAAATTTTACTTGAGTGGGTGTGCGTCATTCGTACAGTTGTAGACTTTAACTTTATTATTAGGATCTAGAGCGACATGCCATGCGGTACACAATAGCGTGTCAGCCACGAAATCAATAGGTAGTATTCACGCTTGAGTTTTCCTACCTTTATAATACCCTTACCGACTGTCATTATGATACCTATAATAGAAGTTATTGATGATTTTCGGCTAATTGAATATTTAATTAATTATTTTACATCAGCGAAGAATTAAGAATAGAGGAAGTATCTAATTATCGTCTTATTGTTAGTAAAACTACTATTAGTCGTTTATATTGACATTCTACTAAGAGTACGTTTTCAAGTAACTTTTAAGAAATATTAGATGTCGCTTGTTGTTCGTTAAAAAGTTGAAACATAATAGTTTTTGATATAAAATTTCATTGTTCTACATAAGTTAGAGTTAATAGCTTATTCAATATTCAGTTATTAGAACTATACAATTATCTAACTGTGTGATTGTCTGTCAACCGGACTACGAAAAAAATGGCGCTAAGCATATACCAAGAAAAATCTCGAAAAAGAAAATATCGAAACGGAATAATATGAGAAAATTAGAATACATCACATACGTAGGATTAAAGTCCGAAATATACGAGAACTGTTCGTAGTTGCAACTATTATGAACAAGAAATTTCGCATGTGAAGTTTTTCTAATGGACCAGAGGCGTAAACAAATGGAAAGTAACTCAGATCTATTCTAATTTAAACAAAACAGAATTGGATAAGATGAGTTCTTCATTCGCCGACGCTTCTCTACAAATTAAACTCAGAGAAGCTTCGAGGCACTTCACAAATAGCTAGGAATTGACATTTCGTGTTTATGGCTTATTAAACTGAACACTCCAATCTCGGAATTACACCATTTTTTAGCAAAAAATCGACGACAAGGACTAATGACGAAGACGCTTTAGAAACTAACAAACGCCGATAGTTAAAATTTTATATTTGAGATTCCCTCCCACTAACATTTATATTTTATATCGAACGACCATTGGTTGAAATTACCCAACAACCAATCATTTGGATATTGTTGAATAAATAAAATGTGGTGAATTCTAAAACATATCAGAATATATTAAATGAGTTAATCAATCTCTTGAAAGAAATCATCAGTTTAAACATATTAAATAAATTTGGGATATTATATTAT